AGCACCGCCCTTTGGTCTTGATTGACGGCAGCGCAGGCCCCGCCCTGTGCGTGGCGTCCGGATCCTAGCACCGCCCTTTGGTCTTGATTGACGGCTGCTCAGGCCGCGCCCTGTGCGTGGCGTCCGGGTCCTAGCACCGCCCTTTGGTCTTGATTGACGGCTGGCAGGCGGCGCCTCGTGCGTGGCGTCCGGGTCCTAGCACCGCCCTTCCAGCAGCTGACCCAGCTCCTACCCCGGGAACCAACAGCTCAGCCCCGGCAGTTCTCCAAGAATCGCGGAAGGCTTGGCAGCGTGAATAAGCTGCCCACCTCTGATCTCAACTTGCCTCGTTTTCAGCCCTACTTGTTTCGCCATTGCTCAGAGGAGGAAACCGCGGGACAGAGTGAGAAAGCAACTGTTTCAAGCCACAGGATTTGAACCCAGATCTGACGCCAGAGCTCGGGCCTTAAATCGGCCTAGTGTTACCTTTCTGGTAAATGAGCCTCGGAGGGACGGGAGGCGGTTGGGGATGCTCCGAAGCCCCGAGTGCTGCCACCCAGGGGTCTAGTGAGGGGTCAAGAGAGGCCTAAATGATGACCAGTGCTACAACAGTCCTGGCAGAAGTCTAAGATGGGTTTTGGCAAATTTTTTTCAGTAAGGACCAGGTAGGAAACATTTTTGGTCATGATTGTAAGCAAGAAAAAGCTTAGGGACACTGAGATTTGATTTTCATATAATTTTCATAAGTCACAAAATAGTCATTGCATTTCCCCCAGCCATTTAAAAAGGTAAACTAAAAAGATAAAAATGATTCATGGAGCAGTCATACCAAACCAGGCTTTGGGTCAGATTTGGCCCTTAGGCCATAGACAGCTGGGTGACTTCTAGCCTAGGATGTCAGATAACTAAAGCACTTTGCTCAGGGTTACACAGTGACCCCACAGTTACTGGAGCCTAGATTCCGGTTTTTCTGGGCCTAAGGTTCTTTTCTACCATATTTTGTACTAGGAAAATAATACTTTGAACTAGAGAAAATTAGAAAAGAAAAACCTTACTGGAGAGACAAAATTAGTTTCATCCTGATTGCTTCATCCTGAAGACTAGGGTATTGTACTCGAGAAGTATCTGTTGAATGAATAAAGGTGTATTTTTGTTATTATTTTTTTAAGTTTCCATACGAAACATTGAAAGCATTATTAATTAAATAGGGGTGGGAGAGTGCTCAGCTAGAACAACATAAATTGCAAAAGAGTTTTAAGAGATAGAAAGGTAGGGCGGCGCCTGTGGCTCAGTGAGTAGGGTGCCGGCCCCATATACCGAGGGTGGTGGGTTCAAACCCGGCCCCCACCAAACTGCAACAAAAAAAAATAGCCAGGCGTTGTGGCGGGCGCCTGTAGTCCCAGCTACTTGGGAGGCTGGGACAAGAGACAAGAGAATCGCCTAAACCCAGGAGTTGGAGGTTGCTGTGAGCTGTGACGTCACTGCACTCTACCCAGGGCAATAAAATGAAACTCTGCCTCTAAAAGAAAAAAGAGAGAGAGAGATAGGAATGTAAGATTGTCTGATAATGAAGGGGTAGACCAGTTTGACTGAAAAAGTAGAACTGAATACTGTTAATACATCGGGAGATGAAGTTGAAGGGCCAAGGAATTCAGGTTAAGAAATTTTGACTCTAATTATGCTAAGCCTTTTGTATATACAGTGTCATTTGAAAAACAATGTTTTTAGAAAGGTAAGTGTTAGGTAGGACTTGGGTCTGTCTTAGGTAGAGTCTGGCAGACAGCAAATTCTCAGTAATTTTGTTCAATGAACTGAATATACATAAAATAGATGGAGAGTGGGGGGTAAATAAGGAAAAAAACATAGAATTAGTCAAGGTATAATAAGATAGAGTCTTGAATTAAGATGGTGGCCTTTGGTTGGCGCCTGCCTCTCTGTGACCAGCCCCGTATACTGAGGGTGGCAGGTTCAAACCTGGCCCCGCCAAATTGCAACCAAAAAATAGCTGGGTGTTGTGGCGGGCGCCTGTAGTCCCAGCTACTGGGGAGGCTGAGGTGAGAGAATCGCCTAAACCCAGGAGTTGGAGATTGCTGTGAGCTGTGTGACGCCATGGCACTCTACCAAGGGCGCTAAAGTGAGACTCTCTCTCTACAAAAATTAAAAAAAAAAAAAAAGATGATGGCCTTTTACAGGTTGGAAAGGGTGGGAGAAAGTCAAATGGGTCAAGGGACTAGAAGGGTCTAAACCCATCTGCTTAAGCACAGATTGAATGAGTAAAAACAGGATTTATTAAATGTTTTTGAATATCGTATGTTCTGTGTGTTCACTAAAGCTAATTGAATAGAATTGGACCTCACTCTTGAGGGCTTTACCACATGAAATTTATGAAAAAAAAAAAAATTTGTTTTAAAGGGCCCCTTCCCCATGTCTGCCTGGGTGGCATGAAGGGAGGGAGCTCTAAAAAAAATTAAAAGGAAAACGTCCACAAAGCCAAGGCACTAATGTTAGTCTCCTTCATCTTTATTTTCTTAGTCTACTAACTCATGGGAGGCAGGAAATGTGTATCTCCTTCCTATATATCCATACGATACCAAAAACAAAGGAAACTGAAGGAATTCTTGTAAAACTACTCAGCTCTGGCTTGAAATTTTTGGACACATTGTTTTTAACATTAGAACACAAGTTACTGGAGAGTAAATACTCTTGCCATTGAACAGAAGAAGATGGTCTGGAGGTGGCAATGGTGGATGCCACCTGACCACCAGACAAGGTTTTTTTGTTGTTGTAGTTTTTGGCCGGGGCCAGGTTCAAACCCACCACCTCTGGTATATGGGGCCAGCACCCTACTCCTTGAGCCACAGGTACCACCCAGGACAAGGTTTTATAAAGTTATAATCTCCATGTCAGCACACTGGTCTAGAACTGACTGTTGAAGTTTACCCGTATGTTAGCAGATTCAGGAGGACAGACTCCCACTAATAAAACTCACAAGAAACAAACAGAGCAACTTGACAATTTATTTACAATGAGAATATATTTGTTGGCCCAGCACAGAGGCTCACTTCCGTAATCCCGGGCCAGGTGGGAGGATTGCTTGAGGCCAGAAGCTTGAGACCATCCTGGGCAACATAATGAAACCCTAGCTCTACAAAAGAATTAAAAAATTAGCAGGGCATAGTGGTGCATGCCTGTAGTCCTACTTACTTAGGAGGCTAAGGCAAGAGGATCAGTTGAGGCCTGAAGTTTGAGGCTAGACAGCAGTGTGTGACTTTGTCTCAAAAAAAAAAAAAAATATATATATATATATATACACACACATACACACACATATATAATTGTTGAAAAAAATCAGGAGAGCCAAAAAATTAATTTGTAAACAGAATTGCTTGGAAAACATGGATTCAGTTCAGAATATGTTGGTCACCTGGTCAGCAAAGTCTTCTCTTCACTCTCTAGCATCTTCTCAGAAAGTTCCTAATTGTATTGGGCATACATTGACAATTATTTTGCTCTCTGCTTCCCCTTTTTGCATACTCAATACTATTAACATTCTTTAGAATCAACTGGCTACAACTAAGTCAATCTTAAGACCTATGTTTTGGGGTGGCACTTGTGGCTCAGTGGGTAGGGCGCCAGCCCCATATACTGAGGGTGGTGGGTTTGAACCCAGCCCCAGCCAAACTGCAACAAAAAGTAGCCAGGTGTTGTGGCGGGTGCCTGTAGTCCCAGCTATTCGGGTGGCTGAGGCAAGAGAATTGCCTAAGCCCAGGAGCTAGAGGTTGCTGTGAGCTGTGATGCTACAGCACTCTACCAAGGGCAATAAAGTAAAAGTATCTTTAAAAAAAAAAAAGACAAAGGACCTAGATTTTGAATAACAATTCTTACAAAGAAATAGCATCTAACAACCAAAAATAATCAGGCAATATCTAATCTTGACTTAAGTCTCTTGAAATTATTTATTAATGCCATGTCTATTTTAATTTTTTTATTCAAGTTTTTAAAATCTCTAACTTATAGAAAAGTCCCAAGTACAGTACACAAATTTTATTTCCTGAATAAACCATTTGAGAGTAAGTGCCAGAATCCTATATATACATTTTCGTACAAAGCCACAGTGGAGTCATCAAAAACAGGAATTTAACAAAGATACTTCATTACCACGTAATCTGCAGGCCCCTATTCAAATTTAATCAGTTGTCCCAATGATGTCCCTTATATTAGTGGGTCAGATTTAGAATCACATGACACTGAATTGTCATATCGCCTAATTCTCTTCAATTCATAAGTCATAGAAACTCTTCTAGCCTCTCATGATTGTGCAAGTCTCCTGGAGGCTGAGACAGAAGGATCACTTGAGTCCAGAAGTTTCAGGTAACAGAGTTACCAGCTGGACACGGTGGCTCATGCCTATAATCCTAGAACTCTGGGAGGCTGAGGCAGGTGGAACACTTGAGCTTAGGAGTTCGAGACCAGCCTGACCAAGAGTGAGACCACATCTCTACTAAAAAAAAAATGATTAGCGGGGTATTATGGCACATACCTTTAGTCTCAGCTACTCGGGAGGCTAAGGTTCTCTCAAGCCCAAGAGTTTGAGGTTACTGTGAGTTATGATGCCACAGTACTCTACCCAGCATGACAGAGTGAGATGCTGTCTCAAAAAAGAAAAAAAGCATAGGGGTGGCACCTGTGGCTCAGTGAGTAGGGCGCTGGCCCCATATACCAAGGGTGGTGGGTTGGAACCTGGCCCCAGCTAAACTGCAACAAAAAAATGGCCTGGCCAGGCATTGTGGCAGGCGCCTGTAGTCCCAGCTACTCGGGAGCAAG